TCGGCGGGAGCGCGGCGCCCACCCCCGCCCCGGCCGGGGTTGCCGGGAAGGTCGCGGAAGCCGGTGCGCGCTGCCGGGTCCTTCTCGCTCCTGGAGAGCCGCGCTTACCCAACACGCGGCTCCTGCCCTTCCCGGCCGGACTGGGAGCAAAGGAGGAAGAAAGCCCATCACCCAGTAACCAGGAGGGAAAGGCGAAACCAAAGGCCAGGGGTCCCCTCTGCGTATGCGACAGTTGGTCTTAGAACATATGCTCAGTCTGTCTGCTTCTCTGCGTAGATGCTGAAAATGTGGTCTCTTGGAAGCTGCCTTTGGAAGGAGCAGTGCTTATCGCCTCATCTTTAACTTTTCATTTAGTCAGCAAATATTTTCGAGCTCCTATTTAGTGGAAAAGATTGTATTAGACAATCTTAGAAGAAGAGGCCTCTACGCTGAAGGGCCTTAGAGTGATGAGGAGACAGACACGTAAACCGTAACAATACCCTGAAATAAAGAACAAACAGGAGACTTGCCTTTGAACACCCGTGTTCTTTCCGCCCTCTTGGCCTTCGCTTGTGCACCTGTTCTCCGTTAGGACTAAATTCGAGATTTACCCCTCTCCAGAAACCTCTCTTGACAACTCCGGCGCTTCCCTTTTCCAGACAGCGTTAGAGCCCCCTTCCTCTGGTAGTCTATTCTGTTGATTTTGTACTGTCTCCTGTAGTCTAGACTTTGAGCTCTTGGAGGCAGAGGAAATGTAATTTTGGTCTTGTATTCCTCAGTGCTTTGTGCTGATAAAGGTTTCTTTTGGACAAAGGGATGTCCCCAGTCCTTTGTTACTTTTCTTACAGAACTCCTCTTAGGCTCTCATGTTACAGTGTATACTCCTCCTCTCCCCTTGCATTCCTTCAGCAAGTTGTGTTGAATGCCTGTTGTATTCCAGATATTATGCCGAGCTCTGAGCTGGAGTAACTTAAAATCAGAATAGTCTTTGCTCTTACAGAGCTTGCAGTCTGATCGCAGGGATAGACACCAATCAAACAAATACATGTAAAATTGCAGCTAAGGTATGTGCTACTGTATCAGCTTTTGCTGTGTAACAAACTACCATAAAACCTAGTGGCTTACAACAATCCTTTAGCTAACTCAACATTCTCTGAGTGGGCTGAGTGGTTCTTCTACTTTGGGTCTGCTTGACTGGGCTCTTGCATACTTTTCTGGTCAGCTGGCAGGTCTGCAAGTGGCTGGATGAGCTGGGAAGGCCCCACAAGTCTGAGGGTGGGAAGGCTGTCAGCAGGGGCAACATGTTAGTGGCCACTTTTGCAATGTAACACAGCTACTAAGGGAAAGTACATGGCACCAAGAAAGCATGGATGTACTTAGTACAGAAGTTTCATTTGAACTAGTTGGGGAAAGAAATTCATTGAGAAAGTGACGTTTAAGCTGAGATCCAAAGATTGGGAAGGGGTTAACTAGGTGAAGAGGGAGGGAAAAACAGTCCAGAGAGGACAGTGTAGGCAAATTGTCCTCCTCCCAACCCCATTCCCATCTCTACCCCAACTTCTATGTCTCAGAAAATGATGCCACCCTCAGGCTGATTGTTCAAGTCAAAAACCAAGGAGTCATTCTTTCTTTTCCCCGGGTGCACTGGCAATTTCCATCTGGTCCACCTCCAAAACATATCCTGAATCATTCAGACTTCATTTTTCTACATCACCATAATCCAAGCATCACTCACTTTTACTGAAAACCTTTCTTACTGTTCTCTTCACATCCACAGTTACACAGTGCAATGCAAAACCAAAAATGTAGATCAGATTATGCCAACCTTTCAAAGCCTCTGCTAAATGATCTGAATATTTGTGTCTCCCCAAAACCTATATGTTGAAATCCTAACCCCTAAGGTCGTGGTATTAGGAGATGGGGCCTTTGTGAGGTACTTGGGTCATGAGGGTGGAGCCCTCATCAGTGTGATTAGTGCTCTTATAAAAGACACTCCAGAGATGTCCCTAGCTCCTTCTGTATGTTACACTGAGAAGATGACCATCAATGAGGCTCTCACCAGGCCCTGAATCTGTCAGTGCCATGATCTTGGACTTCCCAGCCTCTAGAACTGTGAGAAATAAATTTCTGTTTTTATAAGCTATCTGGTTTATGGTTTTTTTGTTATAGCAGCTCAAGCGGACTAAGAAAGATTCCCAGTGTGCTTAAAATAAAATTTTGAATCCTTATTCTGGCTGTTAAGGCTATATCTCATTCCTGCCTACCCATCTACCTTCTCTCACTGCCCTGCTGTGCTATAGCTACAAAATCTTTCTTTCTGTTCCTAGCATGTTTCAAGCTCAGAGTCAGTTTTGTGTTTGTTATTTTCTCTGTCTAGAACACTCCTTACTCAGATCTTCGTATGGCTAGCCCCTTCTTATCATATAGCATTCTGCTTAAAGGCACCCACAGAGTGAGGCTTTCTCTGATCACCTAGTTATTACCATATCACCCTGTTTTGTTTCCTTTGAAGCACATGTCACTCTGTGAAATTAACCTATTTGTTTATATGCTGTTTCTGTCTCCCATGACTAGAATACATTCTGTATGAAACTAGTGCTATCTGGTTCACATTATATTCCCCATACCTCCGCAGTCTTTGACTCACAGCGGGAACTCAATAGTTGAATTTATTGATGAATAAGTGAGTGAGTGAAAACCCCATGACAGAGAGCATGGTGTGTGTGAGGAAATGGGAGAACACCAATGAGGTTGGAGTGGAGGAGGTGGGCATGATGATATATGATATAGCTAGAGGGGTAGGTACGGACCAGGTCATGAGGATGTTTTGGCCATGCTAAGGAGTTTGGTCCTTGTGTTGGTCAGGGTTCTCCGGAGAAACAGAGGCAATAGAAAGAAAAGAATATATATAATGATGTATGTATATATGTGGTTTTATTATAAAGAACTGACTCGTGATTATGGAGGCTTAGTCCCAAGATATGCAGTCAGCAAGCTGGAGACCCAGGAGAGCGGATAGTCTAAAGTCCAGTCTGAAAGCTGGCAGGCTCAAGACCTGAGAAGGGCTGATGTTTCTGGCTGAGTCTGAAGGCTGGAAAAAGCCAATATCCCAGCTTAAGCAGTCAGGCAGGAGGAGTTCTCTCTTCTTCTAGCCTTTTTGTTCCAGTCAGGTTTTAAATTGATTGGATGGGGCCCACCCACATTAAGGAGGGCAATCTTTTTACCCAGTCTACCAATTCAAATGTTAATCTCATCCAGAAACACCCTCACAAACACACCCAGAATAATGTTTGGCCAAATGTCTGGGCATCCTGTGGCCCAGTCAAGTTAACACAAACCAACCATCACAGTCCTTATCTTAGTATTGATGTGTTACAGCAAGGACTACCTTATTCCTCACGTATCTCGTAAATTTGTTAGCAAATGCCTCATGTATAGTATGGTAATTATTGAACAAATGTACATTGAATTGCACTGTTTCAGTCTCCACTCAATATATGGAATGAATATGTTCTAGGAACCCTTCTCCTGAGACCTGGGCCCTTTGTCTCCTGTCAACAGACATTTCAAAACATGCATCAACACAATTGTTCTCAAGTCTTTTCACTGCTTGGAGGCACTTTCTTTAAGGCTATGCTTCTCCTAGGACACATCATCTCCTAGAAGAGGAGCTGGGAGCCTGGGGTGGCCAAGTACCTTGGCCAAAGTCGCGTGATGAAATGGTAGGGGAGCTGGAATTAAATCCTTTGTCTTCCCTCTCCAATACTCTTCCCCCTGTACCAGAACATATCTATCTTTCTATCTTTCTCTCTCTTTCATTATGATTTTTTTGCAAAGTTCTTAAACAAATGTAAACATAAATAAATTACTTTAGGTAGTTAATGAATGCCATTCCATATTTGGATTAAGGAGAATGTGTGTCAATGATCAATCATTGGGTGCAGCATTCCAAAGTTTCTGGAAATTATTGTTCCAAATTATAAGCAGTATAACATGACATTTCAGGACTTTTCCTAAACTACTACATGATACTTGTGTATTTATTGTGAAAACAGCACAATCTTATTTTGCATAATATTGGGTGAATTTCAGTTTGTTTAGGATGGTTTAAGAAAGGTCCAGTGGAGGCACAGAGTTACATTAACCTGCTTCACTCATTTATTCAACACCACTCACTGAGAACTCATCGCGTACCCGGTGCTGGGTTTACCATTCTTTAACCCAAGTGCTCTAAGGTGGAGAGAGACAGCAATACACATAACTGGATCATTTTTTGAATTTTCTTCCAGTCTTATTTCTTTGGAA